AAAAAACAATAATTTATCAGTTTTTGTTTCTCTCTAATAAAATCTGAAGAATTAAAAAAATGTAAAAAGAAAATACAGATGCAGTTCTCTCCAAAAAATACTTGGTTTCCATATGCATATAATCTACTTCTAATACTGTATTTCCAGTTGGAAAGATATTTAATCTGATCATGTACATTTTCTCCGATTTTATTTATCTAAGAATATTTTAATTTCTTCATTTTTGAAGGACAGTTCTTCTGGGTTTCGATTTCTAGCTCAGTTTTTTCTTGCAGCATTTTTAAATATGCCATTCCATTGCCTTCTGGCCTCTGCGGTTTCTAATGATAAATCAATAGTTAGTAGTTTTGAGGCTCTCTTATACATGAATCATATGAGATATTTAACTTTCTCTCCTTTTGAAATTCTCTCTTTCACTTTTGAATGTTTAACTATGATATGTGTAATTGTGAATCTTTTTAAATTTATACTACTTATGGTTGTTGCACTTCTTAGATGTATTAATTTTTTTTATCAAATTTGGAAAGATTAGGTCCATTTTTTCTTCAAATATTTGTTCTTACCCTTATGGACTTTCTTCTTCTGAGATTCTCAAAAATTATATCTACGTTGTTCCCAGAGGTTTCTGAGGTTCTGTTTATTTCTGTTTATTGTGCTTCCTTTCTGTTCATCAACTGGATCATCTAAGTTGTTCTATTTGCAGTTTTAGTTATTCATTCTTCTCCCTGATCAAATCTGCTATTAAGCCACTATAATAATTTTTTTGTTTGTTTTTATACTTTACAATTCTAAATGTATCTTTCTATCATTATGATGTTTATCTCTATACTAATATTTTAAATTTAATGAGATATTGTTCTTATAATTTCCTTTAGTTCTTTAGATATAGTATTCTTAAGTTCTTTCAACAAATTTAAAGTAGCTAATTAAATTATGTCTAGTAAGTAAAACACCTGAGCATCCTCATTGCAATTTCTAGTAATCACTTTTGTTTATTATATTGGCAATAGTTTCTTGCTCCTTTGCATGTCTCATAGTTTTTTTTTTGCTGAAAACCTGACATATTAAATAATATAATTTGGCAGCTCTGTAAATTAGATTCTCTTTAATCAACAAGGTTTGTTCTTGTTTGTCTATTTATGACTTTTTCTGAATTAATTCTGTAAAATCTGTATTCTTCAAAGACCCTGTGTAACCAGTGAAGTCACTGTTGGGTTAGCCTACTTGACAGCTATTGCTTAGGCAAATTTTAAAACAAACAAATAAACCCTCAAACCAATAAGTATTCTTATATTTGTTGAAAGTTTGGGCATGAGTGTTGGGACATTCCTTCATTATTCAGTTAAGTTTATTAAAGAAATATTAAAAGCTCTGCCTTAGTCTTCATTTCCTGTCTGTGCAGAGACTCAAGACAGTCAGAGGCGAAAATATTACGTTTTTCCTGAGCATACATTCATCTTTGGTAAATGCACAGCCCTGCACATACACGTGGTCTTCTAAGTTGAAGCATTTTAAAGCCCCCATGGATATCTAATTTTTCAGCTTTTCCTCTCGGGTTTTCAGGTTGCTTAACTTATTGTGTGTCCTAAATTTTACTCACTTCCTCACACAGAAGAAAAAAAAAGGCAAATAAATTGCTTCTCTCTCTCTCTCTCCCCCTCCCTCTCTCTCCCTCCCTCCCTCTCTCTCTCTCTCTCTCTCTCTCTCTCTCTCTCTCATAAATTCCTGGCTAGGAAAAAGCTTTTGGACGACTGGAAAAGCACTAAAAGATAAGTCAGATAAACAAATCAAGACTATCTTACAATGTAGTATTCCAGGGAGCTCACAGACAGATCAAATAATGACAATTCTTTGTGACTGAGTCTTGAAGAATTTTCTACCCCATTCTACTCACTTCAGTGCCTACCAGGCTGCTTGTTTTCACTGTGATGGCAGATTTTTAACCTTTCAAGTCTATCTCAGAGTTGAAGAGGATGAAAGGGCACAGGGCAAGTAAAAATGTCACAAACCTTGCTATTTTAAAAAGATCAAGTCATTTTTCTTGAATAAATGTTCCCCAGATTGCTCTAAAACTTGACTGATTTCTAGAGTTCTAAAGAAATTAATTCTGACTTTTCCCCCAGTTTATTCATGACTTTTATTGAGAAAAAAATTTTGGAAGTCTTTACATTTTTTATGGATATCATTCTGATGATGTATATTCACCTAGGATTATATTGCTTATCTCAGCATAAATGACATAGTCAAGTAAAACATATGTTTGTATATTTTATTATAATTGTATATATTTTATACACTCATTTTCTTAAAAATGTAACACAAATTTTTCCTTTATTTTGCATTTGAGTGGCATAATACAAAACACAATGCCTAGATGCCACACACATTTCTCACACTTGAACAAATGCACCTTCATTAAGATCCTCTAAGTTATCTTCACTTTCTTCAATATTAGCATTAGGTACACCTGTGTCAAAGTAAATATCACTAATAAAATAACTACAGGAATTTTGGAAAGTATACTCAATGTTTTAAAAAATGGAACAAAAACAGCACCATGCAAACAACTATAATAGAAAAATAAAGCATAGCCAGGTTCGGTGGCTCAGCCTGTAATCCCGCGCCTTTGGGAGACTGTGAGTGGATTGCCTGAGCCCACGGGTTCGAGACCCGCCTGGGCAGCGAGACCTCATCTCTACAATAAATCAAAAAATCAGCCGGGTGTAGTAATGCATGCCTGTAATTCCGGCTACTCAGAAGGCTGAGGTGGAAGGATCGCCGGAGCC